AATTTTGTGGATAAGTGAATTAGTTTGCAATGTTATTCTTAGTGTATTTTTCCCCCTCCTCATTCCTGTCAGATGGATAGTGGCTATAATACCCAGAATTATGGAAGCAATATTATGGATACGGTTGGGGCAGAAAGTTACTACAAAGAAAATGATGCACAAACTTTGGAAGTTGAGACCAAACCTCAAGTTTTTAATATAAAGGTATGGAAAAAACAGAAAGATTGATATGGTTGTAGGTCTTAAGTGTTCATTAAATGGTGACTTTTTTCTACTTTTTCTCCTCTATTTTGCTTAAAATTTTGTTGACTATCATGTTTATACCTAATCCTTCAGTTCATTTAATAGCAGGTGAAGATGATTTTTAAATGGAAACAACTTTGTTTTCCTAACTCTGTTGAGAGTGTTAAAGAAGAGGTTGGAGAGGGAGAATTAGTCCTACTTTGGAATTGGTCCTTGAAATCAGTTCCTTAAAACTAACTAGGAATAGTAGAAGGTGCCAAAGAGGAGGAAACTCAGAGGTTTTTGCCTCTAATATTGTCTTAAAGCCATATGTAAAAAAGAATTTTGATTATGAGAGAAGGAAGTAATACAATTGAGAGACTATGTATCAAATTAAGAACACACAAAGGTAAAAGCTCTTCAAATCCAAAAGCCTTCATAGATTTTGGATGCCGAATGAGAACACGTATCTTATATTCTAAGTACTTATAATTTAGACAAAAATATTCCGTTGTTGACATTGACTGAACCTTCTAGATAGGATGGTTATAACTGTATGTTCACATTTGAAGTAACCCATCATAATTTCAGGCACTATCAGGAGAAGCTTTAAGTTTTTGTATGCCAGTTTAATAAACAGTAAGTATCAGCAAGTGTGCTACTGAAGAGAACTCTCCAAATGAGAGTTAAGACTTAATATGGAGCCACAACTACAATGGGATTATAGTCCATTTCAAAATGAGATACAGGAAGTACTTTTTGATACTACATATTGATTAGTAAAAAGCCTATCTTCACATCTCTTTAGAATCTGCATTTGGGTTTTAAAAAGTTCTCATAATAGTTGCATCCTCAAACAGTCCTATTTAAACTGAATATAAGGTATTTTCTTCATTCACAGCAAGACCATAAGACCCAGAGGTGTTGGATGAAAGCAGCAAATCCTCAATGCAGCAGTCCACAGAGCACCTCTGTCAGAACCAAAGACTATCGCTGAATAGCTCCTCGCTTATTTTTTCTCTCGCTTATTATTTATGATCATTATTGGGGAAGATTGCTTCAACTAACAAGCATAGCTTTTTTTCTTTCCCTCCGCAATGTGACAAATCAAGGACTTAGTGACCTAGGAACATCAGAAAAGCACCTGGAGCTTTCAACAAGTTGCTGAAGTACAAGTTTATTTTTTGTCAATAAATATTTTTGTACTAACCTTGAGTGATGTGTTTTACAATAAAAAAACTTTGAGAGCGTTGACTGCTCTATCCTCTGTCATAACAGGGAGGAGGAAAGGCCTCATTTCTCCTGGTAGCTTGTGGAAGTGGGGTTCTTGGGGTACTGCTGGAGTAAGAATTTCTGGAGGCCCCCACAGGAGGATGAGAAAGGATAGAAAGCTTTATTTCTGTGGAATTACACCCTTGGGTTTCCTAACTTCCCTTTTCCTTAGTCCAGTAATAAAAGAAGTGTAGCTGGGACTTCAGTAGAGCTAAAATCAGAGCCATTGTCAATGTCCTTTCCATGATGGAGCCAGGTGCAGCCCAGCAACTGCCTAGCTTAGCTTATTTCCCCACTTTCCATTGTATTGGGGTCCCCATGGCCCTGGGCCATCGAGGTGAAGGCAGGAGAGCCAAGAGAATGTGCCAAGAACAAGAAGAGAGAACTCCTGTTTAGGCCATTATGTATTCCCAAATTTTCACGTACTTGCAGTGGTCACACCCATTCTGGATAATTTCTGTTCCCAGGTGTAATGAACAGATAAGCACCTTCCCTGTCACCCCAACTTTACTGGGCATGTGGCTATCATCTCTTTGTCCAGTCCCTTCCCCGAATGTTTTGCAGGAAATAAGCTGGTGGTTCCCTGGGGAGTCAAAGCTGCAGCTTCCTGGTGAAGCTGCGCAAATGACATGCCTACAATGTCTTGACTTCCCTTGGTTCCTTTCCTATCATCAATAACTAGCTAATTACAACGGTATCACTGCAGGGTTAATGAACTGCTTATTAGTAAGCCTTACATACTGCACTTAGCAGTTCTGAGAACATGTGGAACTGTGAAAGTACAGATGAATTTAAATTTATAACCTATGTGAAAGATGTAAATCTGATTTAGATACAAAACAAATTTATCAAAGAGGTAGGAAGGAGGTAAGGCAGGTTTCCAAAATTTTTCATTTTGGGACTCTGTTCATTTCTATGTGGAAATTCTTAGTTCTAGTGATGACTGGCCTAGTGACTATAAAAAGTGTAAGTACCAGAAAAGTAGTACTATCAGCATCTTCATATTATGTACTACTATTCTCATTAGTGGATAAATGTGGATGCCCAGAATATTCTCCATCCCTAGGGTAAAGACATCCTTTCCAAGTCAAATTGGCTAGGGAGAGGAATAGGAACATGGTAGAACCAGGATCAACAGTGGGAACTGGTTGACAATGGAGTTCCTGTTAGGGCTTTAGACCTAGGAAGTAATAGTTGGGCAAATATGTAACTAACTTGTAAAAAATTTGTATTCGACTGGCTATATCAGGGAATATTCTTTACCTTTGGAGAATGTATACTCATATTTACAGATCACTTTTTAAAAATTATATGATTCATAATTGAGTAACAGTTCATGTGCAGCCCTAGAAAATAAAAACCTAGTAACTTTGTGTCATTTTTACCTTTTTTTTTTTTGCACCTTTTAAGCTTATCATGAACGTCCAAAAAATATTTCTTGAGGAAATTAAAAACGGCGGCAGAGTAAGTGGATGCTGCATGAACATGCTCCCAGGAACAAAAAGTGTTCTTACCGAGTACTTAGCTCCTCCTGACCCCCAGCACACTAACCATTAAAGTCATTAGCCTCTAGGTCAGAGGTGGGCAACCCCTGGCACGTGTGCCAAACATGGCACGCCAGTAACTTTTGCTGGCACACAAAACCCTCTCTTATAATCTTCCATTTACAATTTTTTTCTTAATATTGACTTTATTTTTCAGATAAATTCAGTGTAGGTGCATCTTAGATAAATAATTTTACATAAGTTATCTTAAAAACCATAGACATGGATTGACGAGAGGGGAAGAGCAATTTCTATGCCTCTGCCTTAACTCTCCCTGCCTTCCTAGATCCGACCAGTGTTTTGGTTTCATTCACATACGCTTGTGAATCTTTGTTCTCAGTGATGAATTTTGTTAATTGTCTCATAATAGGAGTAGCCTGATAGATGGAAGTAGTAGCTCGTGCATATCTCTGAAGGTCACAAAATAGAAACCTGATGTAAAATCTCTGTCATCACTGATGCAGCAGCAAAAGTCCCACTGATAATATCAAATGGAATCAAAGTTTTCTGCCGGACTATCAGTGTACATGTATACATTAAAAAATAAATGTATTTTTCATCATCATATACTGTTTTTGTCGCTCGAATGAATTTTATTATTTCTTCAAGGTTCTTCACATACGTACACCTTAAGAAATATCAAGTAGGCCTAACATGTTCTCAAAACATTAGGGTTGGCACGCAGAAGAATTTTGAGTCAGAGATTTTGCTGGTTTTGACACGCACTCACAAAAAGGTTGCCCACCCCTGCTCTAGGTCCATTGCTAAAGATACTTCATTAGGAAGTTGAGTCCTTAATCACATAGGTTTTAAATTGATATCAACTTAAGACTATTGCTATACTTAAGAGTTCTAAATTCTAGGGGTAGGAGCTTCCCTGGCTATGTTTTTGTGTGAGTTTTTTAATAGCACAGGTGAAGAAACTGAACAAATAGTGACTATAACTTGGATTCAAACACCACCTCTGTCACTTAACTACTAGAATTGGGCCATGAAAACCTCAATCTTCTAATCTGTTAAAGGATAATAGTCCTACCTAACAGAGCTTCTTAAGTAAAATATTCCAAGTAAGCTACTTAGCATAAGAACTGGCATGAGTAGCATTTTAGATACCAAGGCAAAGGCTTTAAAGGGGGAAAAGGTTTCTGGACATCTTGAACTACTCAATAGGGACTGATGCCTGAATTAGGCCTTCCTCATAAATGAGACAGAAGAGAACAAACTTGGAAAGACAGACATAAAGTCAGTTATAGCCTCCTTGCTTTACCAAGAAGCCTCCCTGTTCCTCTACTGCAGGTAAACTATGGTCCATTGGCCAAGAATTTTAAAGTAGTTTGGGGAGTGAGAAATCAAATGGATAATATTTTATGACACATGAAAATTATGAAATTTAAATTTGTGTCTATAAGGTTTTGTTGGAACATAGCCATGCGCGTTTGTTTGCATAGTCTATGGCTGCTTCACATTGTAAGAGCAGAAGAGTTGAGTACTCAGGTGGTAACAGACTGCACACTAGCAGATCCTTAAATGTCTGGCCCTTACAAAAAGGTTGTTGACTTCTGCTCTTGTCTTTGTCCATTACTTGGACCCAAGACAACTCAAAGCTATCTTCCTTCAACTGAAACAATTTCTGCGTCAGTGTGTGGATGTTTTCCTCTGTAACAGGACACTGGAACAAATCAACTAATAATTTCTGAGCGCCTAAAAGTACACACTGTAATTATTCCCACTTAGTATACCTCTGACATATATGCCAATTCTCTAATTGTGCCGCAAGTCCCTTCAAGGCACAGGCAGTTTACTTAACTGGTGATATGCCTGGTACACTGTAGGTACTTAAGAGATTGAATAAGCCAAGTAAAATGTTTTAAGGTAACTATCTCAAAATATTTTTGAAAGCACCAATTTATCATTACTAATTTTTGTGGTTAACAAAGGAAATAGTCACTCTGACACGTCAAATTGTAAAACTTCAATTTGTTCCCTTTAATATTTATTTACACAATCCCCCTTTCCAATATAATCTGATACACAGGCAGTTTAAAAGCCATTCATTACCTACTTTTTATTTTATAAGTAACATGATGTGACATTTAAAATACTCTTCAGTCTTTCTTTGGGTCCTAATCCCTTATTTGGGGGAGATATTTGAGGTGAAGGTCAAGAATGATGATCACTCTTATTTCCTAGTATAAAGCAACTATTTTTTCCAGTCTTGCCTTCCTACAATATCCAACTCCCAAACACACACAACTGTTCAAGCATCATTTAGGAACTGCAAGAGGCTTTCTAACAGAGTACATAATGTAAGTTAGATAAATTAAAGACAGCACAGATTACTGAATTCCCAACAGATCTTAATTGTCTTGAAATCCAAACACTGCCATACTAAACACAGCTTTCAAGATTTAGATAGATGGTTCTTTGCTTCTAAAAACATTCTATTTTTCTCCATAGGGAAATGGTAGTTTTTTTTTAATCAATATTAAATAGTCAAATCACTTTTGCAAAGTTAATCTGCTCTTCAATGAGAGCATGAATGCTCCCTTTAAATGATCTTTACAGATCCCTGAATTTGCTATCCTCACTATTTAAGTGATGGATATTCAACTCAATTTTTCTGCATAAATAGCTTTGTTCAGTCCAGAAGTAAATGATGGGACAGACACAGACAACAGTTCAATAAAAATGTACATTTTAAAAATTATTAAAATGCACTTTAAAATAATAAACTGTTTCACACACTTCTTAGGATTAGAAATGTCCTCTCAATTTTTGTTGTTGTTTGTTTGTTTGTTTTTAATTTTATTAAAAGGAAACCAACCCTTGAAATTTTTTTGCTGGCTATAGCTATTTTTCAAGCTTCTTCTTCTTTTTCTCTGGTTCACTGATGTCCATGTTTGAAGTATTAGTAGGAATACTTATTCCTGGTATCTAAAGTAATACAAATGGGGGAAAATTAGGTTGAGTAAAAGTATAAAATAAGGAATAAATCTCATTCTCATTTCCCCTTTCCCCACTGATACTTTCAATTTCAAAAGGATATAGGGGTAGATGGGGAAAAGGTTTTCCATACAAAGTATATATTTCACACACAGGGTAACAGTGGTTCAAAATGTTAGACATGATATCAACACATGAGAAATAAGTCATTTGGGAAGTGTGTGTTTAACATGTCCAATTATCCTAGCTGAGCCACTGTGACCGTCAGCATCAGAGCAGGTATGTTGGGGCAAAACAAAAGTTAAGAACCAATGTCTTATCTTCAAAAATGCAACTTCAAAACTGATAAAACTGAAAATTGACTAGGCGAGAGATCTCAAAGAGCTCTGCTTTTGGTACCAATGACAGAAGAAGAAACCTAGGTAACCTGGATCCTATGGCCTAGGGAGATCAGTGAGAAATAAGAATTGCTATGCAGCCCTAACCGGTTTGGCTCAGTGGATAGAGCATTGGCCTGCGGACTGAAGGGTCCCAGGTTCGATTCCGGTCAAGGGCATGTACCTTGGTTGTGGGCACATCCCCATTTAGGGGATGTGCAGGAGGCAGCTGATTGATGTTTCTCTCTCATCAATGTTTCTAACTCTCTATCCTTATCCCTTCCTCTCTGTAAAAAATCAATAAAATATATTTTTTTAAAAAAAAGAACTGCTATGCAAATATTTGTCCTCCACACTTAAAGAATTCCCTCTATCACTAAACAGAAATAACTTATGACTATATCCGTCTTTCACAAAATACATTCCATTACAACAAAAGTTTGCCTTACCTGTGGTTCTACCAGGGACATTCGAATTTTCTGATGCTGAAGATTCGACGAGTCTAACATGATTTTCACTTTAACTTTATCAAATATATGGAACACAGTATTTTCTATTTTAAGTGAAGGTATCTAAACAAGAGACATTTTGCAATGTTTAATTACTTCTACAGACTTTGGGATTTGTTCCAATTCTTTATAATTTACCTTTCATATTAATTTAAAATTTTACTTTAATATTTAATAAGATGTTCAAAATATAACAAAAACCACTAATTTAGTAACCTCACACAAATGTAAGCTACCATACTTCCTCCTCTCATTAAGATCGTCCCAATATAAATAAAGAATAAAAAAAAATGGTCCCAATATATATTCATTACTCTCAGGTGTCTCACCAGCACATTGTTGAGAACAATACACAAAGGTACTGAAGGCAGAGATTATTGTTTTGCAGTTCTAAGGTTAGGGAAGTAGGGAGTGTGTCAGATAAGCGACATTGGAAACAAGTTAAAAAATTCCCTTCGCTGGGCTCTAAACAGTCATTTATTTATTCCTTCACTTTACTCCATCTCTGCACCTAAGGAAAGTGTAATTCAAGTTTTCCTTAAGAGGGAAACTTTACATGGTATAAAAGAAACCATGACCAATGTTGTATGCTGGACAATATGCTGAGAAACTGAGTATAATTGTTTGGCACAATTAAATTCTGCAGGGTACAAAAAGCAATTTTACCCTTTATAGGTACCATTTGTAACCTATCAAAAAACTAAGTGCCTGCCCTCCCCTCCCCACCAAAAGAAAACAAAAATAAAAACATTAGAAATACTATACCTCATCATCATAAATAAGCCGTGGCTTGGGTTTGTCCTTTTCTTCAAAAAAGACTGTACCTTCTAATCCATATTTTGGAATTAACACCACAATAGCATTTTTTTTCACAAAAAGAATATAGGCCTCTTCACTTACTATTCCTTTGCTTTTGAAAAATAGCTGTAAAATAACATACAACCTTAAGAATTGTCTTAAATATTTTTAAATGAACAGAACAATTCTGAACATAAATTAAAAATGAATAAAACTTCATCTCTCCTAATATTATCAAGAGAGGGCAATACCTGGGTATGGAAAGCCACTGATGCACGTTGGGCATATTGAGCCATTTTGTGCCGAAAATTAAGATTTTTACATAAATCTGCAAGCTTATGTTTGTCTGTCAACTCTGGATAAGTACAGTCAGCCCCAATAGCCACAGCCAACAGCCGATGAACAATGATGTCCGCATATCTAGATATATAAAGGTGAAACAAGAACCATGCAACATCAGCATTAAAATGTCTTGTCAAAATTAACTATTTTCTATTTCCTTTCATTTCAAAAGGAAAAAGTACCTTCTGATGGGTGAAGTAAAATGTGTGTATATTGGGGATGCTAAGCCGTAGTGATGAAAATCATTATCCATTCCAGAGCAGAAGTACACAGCTTGCATCATGCAGCGAGTGGCTAATATTCTTAACAGAGTGTTTAGATATGGGAAAGTAGCAGAATCAGCCTGATCCAAAGAGTCAGCCAAAGCCTTGGCAGTATCAGTTTTAACTTCCAAATTCTGTGAAAAAGAGGAGGGAAAGAGCACTACATTTTAAAATCAGTACCATCATGTATCCAAAATATAACAAATCAAATTGAACAGATAATAAGTGCTTATTTCTGATCAGATACGTGTTTATACCTTTTATCCTTCCCCTAGGAGACTAAAAATAAATTTATAAAAAGCGTAATACGCTAATTAAACTGGATGTCCTTCCAGACAACCTTCCAGGCGAAGCCGGGGCTGTGAGGGAAGCACGGGTCCCGGGTGCCTGCCAGTGGCCGCAGGGAAGCCCAGGTCCCGGGTGCCGGAGGGAAGCCAATGCTGGTAGCCAGGGGAAGGAAGACCTACTCTTGTACAAATTTTGTGCATCGGGCCTCTAGTCCTATATAATAAAGAGGTAATATACAAATTAACCCTCACGCCCTCACAAGATGGCTGCCTATGACCAGGCTGGCAGGGGGTTAGTGAGGGACAACCAAAAGACTGAACAGCAGGCTGCGTGGGGTGACCAGGCCGGCGGGGGGACCATGAGGGGCAGGTGAGTGAGTGATTAGGAGCCAGCGGTCCAAGATTGTGAAAGGGATATCCAACTGCCAGTTTAGACTTGATCCCGGGATTGGAGAAGGTACAGGCTGGGCTGAGGAAACTCCTCCCGTGCATGAATTTTGTGTACCGGGCCTCTAGTTAATTTATAATTCAGAACAGCAGTGGAGGTCTGAGAGTTCTAGAAACATCTACATGGAGAGTACACTTTCTCCCTGTAGGCCAACTTACTGAATTGTGGTCAGAGGGCTGGTGAGCACACCCTGAGGGAAGGTGGTATTGTAGAAGGTGTAGGCTGGACTGAAGGGACACCCCCCACCCCTGCACGAATTTCATGCACTGGGCCTCTAGTAAATTTATAAAAAGCAATAATTGTTCTGTGCAACATCAAAGCTTAACATTTTCTGAATGCATTTAAATACACTGAAGTATCAACATTCTCAAGAAAGGATGGTGGGAGCAGCAGTGCTGTTTCTCAAAGCCCAATTTGTGCCTTCTTAATCTTTGCTGGGTAGGAAAAAAAAAAATCAAAACTGACTTGTATGTCTGGATTTTCTCTGCAGACATTTTCCTTCCATTCAAATTAGAATTAAAGGCCAGAGACAAACTATATTGGTCACTACCACTCAATGTTGTGGTACATCGAATTTAGCTGCATTATTATTCATTGGGAGATGTGGCAAACATACTTAAACCCTCCTTCCTCTACCCAGGTTTTAGGAAGAAATAAGACAAGAATAAATCACCCAATTTCTAGCATAAGCCTTAGAGCAGAGAAGATGCTGAATTTGTTCTGATGGCTATGATAGGGATAAGCCCACCATAATGGTCTAAAAACTCAGAAACCAACACCATCCTGTTAGAATAATTCAAAACAACTCCTTCCAGCTCTCTTCTGGACAGGAAAAGATGAGGCCTGAACAAGTGATACAAAAAAAATCAATGTAAGCCATAGTCACCCCAAGGGTAACGGTATTTATGCCTACATGAAAATTTACTAACTAGAGGCAATGGGAGTATATGAGGCTGAGAAAATGCTGCCCTTTCTATATTTTTCCTTTTTCCATATATGCAATAAGTGGACCTCCTTCTTAGGAACATGATATAAAGAGGGTTTAACTGAGTTAAAGGTAAAGAGAAAGAAATTATTTATAAGTCTCTTAGGCAGTTCAGAGGAGGCATGAAGTAACATAGGCATGAGGAACATGTACAATGGCACAGAGATATGGAAGAGCTTATTATGTTTAGGGTACTGCAAATAACTTAAGTCTACATAAATGAATCAAATTAATATGTTGTACACCTTAAATGTACACAATGTTTTTTGTGAAGTACATTTCAGTAATTAAAAACTAAGAACTACTGGCATATTTTTGCATCAAGAAACAAGAACATTTTTATGGAGATGTAAGTAGATTATTCAGTGTAATGGATAGATCACAACACAAGGATAGATAACTTTTCAAACTACAGGACCTTACCTTGGATTTAGTTGCCTTAACAAGAATTTCATAATTTGATGGAGGAGGAGCAGGATGTTTTCGAAGCAGAGCATGTTCAGAAAACTCTTCATGAATTTTTTTTGCAACAGAGATATTGGCAAGTAACATAAATTCTTCAACCATGGAATTTGTTTCTCTGCCAATGAAAAAAATCATTAAATAAGGAAGGAGAATCTGAGACTTCTATAAATCATATTTATTTACAGGATACCTTTTCTACCTACAAGATAATAGAAAAATTTCCTATATAAACATTCATATGTGTGTGCACATGTATATTTTTATAACTTAGGGCTCTTTCATTTCTCTCCTATTATGCTAACAATCTTTCACTATGCATCTACTGTGTAAGAAAATCTCGTGCTAGAGAAGACTTTACGAATTGCATTAAAAAACAGAAGTTTTGCTAATTTTAATATATAAAATCTAAATCATAAACATTTTTACCTCCTTTTACTGAGCCCAAATTAAAATAGATTTTTATTTAACTATAAATTCATAAAAATAAAGTTTACTAAGAAAAATTAAGTTTGTCATGCAAATTTTGGTTTAAAAATTTAAACTTTCACTGATAAATCAGCCAAATGAAGAGATCATATTTATAATAACTACTCTAGATGCTTATTATGGGTCAGGCATTGTGCTATAAGTGCTATATGTATTGTGTCATATATATATGTGTGTATGTATATGTATGTGTGTGTGTGTATATACACACACACACACACACACACACACGTGTATATAATTTATTCTTCTGCAGATAAGAAGACTGAGTATTTTTCTCTGCTCAAAGTCAGAGTTATTAATAGTAACAGGATCCGCTCTAGGTGGTCTGGCTCAGTGATAGAGTGTTGGCCTGTAGACTAAAGGGTCCCGGGTTCAATTCTGGTCAAGGGCACATACTGGGGTAGTGGGCTCAATCCCCAGTAGGAGGCGTGGAGGAGGCAGCCAATGAATGATTCTCTCTCATCACTGATGTTTCTATCTCTCTCCCTCCCTCTCTGAAATCAATAAAAATATATTTAAAAAAATAGTAACATGATCCAAGTCCACATAACTTATATCAAAACTCTTAAGCAATCTGATATTGCCTTTTAATATAGCCTATGTCCACTTAAAACTTAGTTTAATAAATTATCCGCCTTCTGTTTACATGGTTTATTTCTCCCAAGTCACTGAACATGTATTATTAATCTATCATTCCTCTTTCCATTTTAAATAACATCTTATAACTTCTTGACAAGATTGCTAAAGTTTATTAATTTTTAAAATATTACTAACATCTCCTATACCTTTAAAACTTATGGGGACAATCTCTTAGAAATGTTTTCTTCTAATTGGTAGTAAGAAGTATATAGTGTTCTATTTTGGCATTAGATTCAATTTTTTCCTTCAAAAAAGCTCCTACTGTTGGGCTCACTGTTCATACTAACATTAAAACTTATTTGCACAGAAGTTCCCCCCCACTAAGGTATTTTTTAAATTTTAGTTCTAATGCTATGAGGCACATACTAATTCTAACTAACCAACAAGTATATTTCCATTTCAATTCTCAGTCATCTAAGAAAAGTATAAGTGCAAAATTAATTTCAGAATTACCTTATATAAGAGGCATGGAAAAGAGGCCTAATTCTGATTTAACCAATTTCCCTGCTTCCTAAATCTTAACTAAATCAATCCTATATAACAGTGGTTCTCAACCTTCCTAATGCCGCGACCCTTTAAGACAGTTCCTCATGTTGTGGTGACCCCCAACCATAAAATTATTTTCGTTGCTACTTCATAACTGTAATTTTGCTACTGTTATGAATCGTAATGTAAATATCTGATATGCAGGATGTATTTTCATTGTTACAAATTGAACATAATTAAAGCATAGTGATTAATCACAAAAACAATATGTAATTATATATGTGTTTTCCGATGGTCTTAGGCGACCCCTGTGAAAGGGTCGTTCGACCCCCAAAGGGGTCACAACCCACAGGTTGAGAACCGCTGCTATATAATAAAAGGGTAATATGCAAATCGACCAAACAGCTGAATGACCAGTTGCTATGACGTGCACTGACCACCAGGGGGCAGACAATCAACGCAGGAGCTGCCCCCTGGTGGTCAGTGCACTCCCACAGGGGGAGTGCCGCTCAGCCAGAAGCTGGGCTGACGGCTGGCGAGCACATTGGCGGTGGTGGGAACCTCTCCCACCTCAGCAGCAACGCTAAGGATGTCAGACTGTCAGTTGGACATCCCCTGAGGGCTCCAGGGCTGCAAAAGGCCAGGCTGAGGGACCCCCCACCCCCCCAAGTGCACAAATGTTGTGCACTGGGCATCTAGTAAAACAATAACAACAGTAGCTGAGTATAACATCTGAACACTCTTGACAGTACCCTCTGAGTTATGTAGCATTATTAGTCTGAGGCACCAAGAGGTCAAATAACTTGTCCAGCGTTGTATAGGCAATAGTGGCAGAAGCGGTATCCAAACCTCGGCAGTCTGGCTTCTAAGCTCTGTGACCACTATTCCATCCTACCACAGTAAATTCTACACTAAATACTTAGGAAATTAATCAGAGCAATCCTCTTTTACTTACCATAACTATTACTAGTCAAATTCTAATTTGGTCTAAATTATGTTTTATTTACTAACAAACCAGACATTACATTTAAAATCAAAATCTTATCTAATGGCCATCAAAAAAAATGCATACCTAAGTTCCTTGGTCTGTAGATCTATAGGATCATGAGTTTCACTGTCCATGTGAAATCGAACTTCTGGAGAAGAAAGAGTCAAAGCCCTAAATAAAAATTAAAGAGGTAAATTACTCAAGTGAACCAATAACAGACTTAATTCTGGAAGTGATTCTTTTAAAACAGAAAATGTTATAGCAAGTATGCAAGTTATTCTTCTGAAGGCTTTGGACCACCTGTTAAGTTTTACAGATCTACAATGCACTTAATAAGAAAGCATAATAGCAACACAATAAAATAAGAGTCCCTGTACTTTTGAGGTTTTCCATATCTTCTTGTCCCCAAACTATGAGATTTCAGTTACATGGGTTTGTAATCACTTTTACAAATAAAGAAGGTTATTGGCAGCATATTATTTACCATGGAAAACCATATATTGGGGTGAGGGATGATGAAGAGAGGCAAAAAGGAAGCTGCTATGGGTAGATCACTGATATTAGAAGATCCACAGTTCAAAAGTATCTTTCCCATAAACTCAACCAATGGAGAAGAGACTGATAAACTACAACTACTAATATGTTACAATCACTGATGGCTATTAATATTTGAGTGTTATGTGTCAGATAACATATTATGCTAAGTGCTCTACATGCCTGGTTCATTTAATGACTTGGCAATTTCTCCTTTGAAGAGTAAATTCCCATAAGCCAGGTAAGTCTAATGTTTCTTTGCCCCTTGATGCTACTTTCATCAGGTCAGCTACAAATCAACCTAAAACTGAGAATTTTAATGAGGCTGAGTTACCTTGTACAATCATGGAAAAGGGAAAAAATAGTAAGAGATGAGATCCAAATTCATTTTCTTCCTTAACTCCTCACCTTTATTAGAGGAGCTACAAAAGGAATACTACCAATGAAATCTCAACAAATATTCCTTTCTTGCCCTGCAGTATTTACAAGGTTCTTCATCAGATTTATTTTGTGTTTATTAATATATCTTTACTTAAAAAAGCAAGGTATACCAATCATATTTTGATCACTTTTTTATTCACAGACCACTATATAGGACATAACATTTATTCTTTTAGGCATAATTTAAGATAAGACAGAACTTCTCCTTTAAGGCAAAGGATGTGATTTTATTTTTTAATGATTATTTTATCAATTCTTCCTACGACTGAGAAGATTCAATGACAGCTTCTACCAGTAATGACCTTCTATTTACAAAATTAAAGACCATTTATAACTTAAAAAGTATCTTTTCTACCCTAATTTTAAGAAGCTATATTACAATGCCAAGTTTACATCTTACTTGAAAATAGCCCTAGCTGGTTTGGCTCAGTGGATAGAGCACTGGCCTGGGGACTGAAGGTTCCCAGGTTCAATTCTGGTCAAGGGCATGTGCCCCAGTTGGGGCTCGATCCCCAGTAGGGGCCTGCAGGAGGCAGCCAGTCAATGATTCTCTCTCATCATTGATGTTTCTATCTCTCCCTTCCTCTCTGAAATCAATAAAGATATATTTAAGAAAAATAAAAATGCCACACAAAAAAAAACCACCATGAAAATAGCCCCACCTGGTTTAGCTCAGTGGATAGAGCACTGGCCTGGGGACTGAAGGTTCCCAGGTTCAATTCTGGTCAAGGGCATGTGCCCCAGTTGGGGCTCGATCCCCAGTAGGGGGCGTGCAGGAAGCAACCGATCAATGATTCTCTCATCATTGATGTTTCTATCTCTCTCTTCCTCTCTGATATAAATAAAAAAAAATATTTTTTTAAAAGGTAGGTAGAAGTAGATGTGTCTACATCAAGTATGTCAAACTCAAAGGCTAACAGGGGTCAAATAAACGAGGCATGCGGCTGCGGGCCGCCAGTTTGATATGCTTGCTCTACATAATAGACCTTATTCATCCTATTAAATAAGTAATCATTATCCATGATAAGACACTTTAAAGAGTTCTAAAGTTATCTTAACAAGATAAATGAATTAAGAACTATATTAGTAGATATTTTTCAAATGTACCCTTTTTCGATTCTTCTTCTTTTCAAAATTTTAGCTAATTTATTTAGTCCACGGAGACTAATGGTAATGTCATCATTCATGGTTGCTGAATCAATTCTCATTTGAGCTTCAGCATATGTAAGGGAAGCCTAAAGAAGAAACCATATGTTAATATAACCCTTTCAAATTATAAAAACTAGTTTACTACATTTCTTATATTTCCAATACATAAAATCCATGCTTTTGAAAAAACTAAGTATCATTAACAAAAGAGACATTCCTAAGTGTAATATTTATATTCCACATCTGATTTCTGGTTCATTAACTTATCTGATGCATTATGCTACATAAGCAAACTTAAGTTAAAGTAATATGGCAGTATTGTTAGTATATAAATTTCTTAAACTCATCTTACTTTCATATAAATAATGTATAAATACTCAGGTAAGAGTATTTATACATTATTTATAAATAATGTATAAATACTCAGGTAGAGAATAATACTTGATTATTCTCTGATAATAACTGTAGAGTGAAATACTTTCTACAAGATATTAATCCCCTACACAATGGCGAACAATTAAAGAAAAATTTATTAAGTGCATCGGGCCTCTAGTTTAAATATAAAATCTAGGAAGGTTTAAATCATTCACATAGCACTGTCAGTTTAACACAGCTTTCTTTCCAACTGCTAGGTCATCATAACAGAAAGAATGTTGTTAAAGGCAGAGAAAAAGCAGGTAAATTTTAGAATTGGAACATTGGAAGGAAAGGGGTTTGGCAAACCTTAGGGGAAGACTCAGGCTAAAATAAAAGTAAAGGGAATTGGGGAGAAGTACAAAAAAAGGAAAAAGATGAGGAAGATATTCTGTCTGAACACAAATGTGTAAGATAATTTCTATGAATAAATATGAAGATAGTATACAGGACAACTTTGAAAATGCTAACCAGTCATGAGTTGGGACTGCTTCAGATAATAAATGGGATTCCTGAGTCAGGGTAAAAACCACCTATTTGGTCTTTTTAACACATTGCAGACGGATCATGAGAATTCTCGCTTCGTATTATACAGTGTTTTACAGAGTATCATACTTTAAAAAGATATTAGCTTGTAAGAACATGTAATAAATAACTTCAAAATGCAATGGGTATTTAATTTTAAAGCGTGCCTTTAACATTTATGTAAAATGTTTTTTGTACTTGTTCAATAGAAACTTATCTGGCCACTGGGTAAAGCTAGCAATAAAACTACTGGTCCACAATATGTTAAGTATACAGGCTTTCAGTGTCTGAATACAGGAAAATCTATATATATAAAAGGCTAACATGCAAAGTGTCCCCTCAGGAGTTTGACCAGGAGACCAGGAGTTCAATTGCTTGCTATGATGTGCACTGACTACCAGGGGGTTGTGTGGAACAAAGGGAGGCCCTGGCTGGCAGCCGGAAGGCCCTGATCGGCCCTGATCGCCAGCCAGGCCTAGGGATCCTACCTGTGCATGAATTTTGTGCACTGGGCCTCTAGTGGCTACATAAACTCATTTCTAAATAACATCAAGAATTAAGCAGGTAACTTCAAAAATCTAGATTTTTTTGTAACACTGGGGAAAAAATTCTTAACTATTCTTAAGCCTAAGCTTTTTCAAAACATTCTAGAACTCTGTCAAAAGTATCAAAGATTTTAAACAACAAATATTAACCATGAAACTAACCTTTGAATTAATGGCACTTTTGGTAAACCTCGTTTTTAAGATTTCAGCATTGTGATTCATTTCCCAAATACATGAAAATGCCAGCCTATGGGGGGAAATAGACAATAATTGTTCATGGGAATCAGTTAAAATAGTAACTACTATATTCTTATGAAAAAACAAGCATAAATACCTGTCAACATTACATCTTAAGGAGCATAAGTTAGAACTAAGCAACTCTGGAACCATGTCAATCCTCTGGAACAGATAAAAGAGAGTTGCAGATTACTTAGCTATTTCCATACATTTTTTTATTTGAGGTTCTATTCTCAAGTAGCATTAATTTAATAAGAAAGGAGGAATATTCTGGTCTCTGTGAATAGAATTAAGAAAACATGAAATAAAAAGTCTATTTATAGAAAAGTACTTACAAAAAATTGTTATAAAATGAAAGCAACGAAAGGAAAGTGGATTTCATATCAGTGGTTCTAAGAATAAGTCCTCTAGACTAAACACCTAGTTGTCCTCTGAGAGTCTGAAATCTCTAGTCTGGATATGAAGTGTATACTAGATAACTGACACAAGACCTGCTAGCTCTATGACTGGACCTTTCTCCAAGGCTTTCCACAAACAATATGGTGTTTTTAAAATACTAAAAAAGATGACACTAAATTTCTATGTAAAAAAACTACATACAACTTTGACAATGAATTCATAACAGACTAAGCTTAATTTTCCCCTCTACTATCACAATTTTTCTCTGTAACTTTATGAGACTATACATAAAGAAGAATAAACAGCAAACTGTGACAGAGTAAATTCATTACTTAACTTTATAAAAAACAAAAAGTACATTTTAATTAGTTACCCATAAACAGTATAAGTTAAATGCTACTGAATAATTCTATCAGCTATACATACCTGTTATTTGGACCACTCAATAACAAAAAACATTGCAATATTTTCATTGATTTAAGGTTACCTTATTCTATATATTATTAGTCTTTTAGCTAATTCATGTACTATTCCAACTATGAACTGGACAATTACTATAATAGTTATTCATCAAATTTCACTAAATACTGAGGCTGTCTTTTCCTAAGCAAACACCTCAGATGATTTTATTATTAAGAATAAAACATGCCTGGATGGTGCAGCTCAGTGGTTGAGCATCAACCTATGAAACAGGAGGTCACAGTTTGATTCCCGGTCAGGGCACATGCCCGGTTGCAGGCTTGATCCCCAGTAGGGGATGTGCAGGAGGCAACTGATCAATGATTCTCTCTCATCATTGATGTTCCTATCTCTCTCCCTCTTTCTTCCTCCCTGAAATCAATACAAAAAAAGAAAAAAAAGAAAAAGGAAACAGATGATGTTACCTTTTCACAAAGATACACAGTTGTTCCCCTTCTGGCTGATTCCTGATCCAAAGCATTTCCTGGCCTAATAAAATGGCTAACATCAGCAATATGAACACCAACCTTAAAAAGATAAAAATAAAAAGATATCAACATGTTTAATTGGATAGAGTTTTAATAAATTTAGTTAAATTGAAAAAAGACTGTCACATTCACCATTTCAATTTTTAAAACATGCCCATTAGTCTCTGCAACTACAACCAACTATACTTGGCACTAATAATTCACAAATAAATTCTACGATGGGTGAAAAGAAAATGAACTGAAAAACAAAACTATATTTAATTAAGAATGTAATTACAAAATGAATACCTCCAAATTTCCATTTTCAAGCTCTCTACAATGCAGAGCATCATCTATATCAGTACATCCTGGTGGGTCCACACTACAAACACATAGATGTCTCAGGTCTTCTCGGTTTTTCATGTCCTACAAGATGCCACATGATTAAGAAATAAAAAACTGTTTTGGTAATACAAATGCAGCACAGCTCTTATGCAATCAACAATATACAGGGGGACACCCTGAATTTAAAACAAACAAAACAACAACTTCATCTTACCAGACATGATTTGCAACTTGTGGTTTCCTTGCCTTTGAAAAATTTGACATAAGGTAGTGTGGGTCCTCTAGAAAAATTATCTTTTAGTAAAGCAAGTGATTTCTGTAATAGCTAAGAGACCTTTAACGAACTAAATGTGGGGGAGGGGGAAATCACAGTTTCTGCATATTTAAAAACCCATACAGAATTCAAACAAAATTAAACCAGATATAGTCATTTATAAAATCACTAAGAATTCTTATCAACTTACCTTTTCAGTAATGCTCCAGGGCATCTTTGGTAGAAAGCTAAGGACAGCCTGTGAAAAAGGCTGATGGGGAACATCATGCTCAAGTAACAAAACTTCTGTTTCAGTCTCTTTATCTCCAACTTCACCTAAATTTTTCACAAAGTGTCCCTAAAACCAAAAGTTATTATTAGAAAGGTATATTTTGTCACTTTTTATTAGGTAATTTATATTTTATTATCACACTGAGCTCTTGAGCATTTATTTGTAACCTTAGTATTTCTAAATGTACCCATAACTACTTCTTAGAAATGACTCCTTGGTAAATTAAAGCTGATAAAGATGACAATTCTCAAGTGTTTATGATGAAGACTTTAGTGACGGCCTAAATTATTTCCTATAATCATTCAAGTTTAAAATGTGCTTCAAATCTGTGTTTAAAATCTGTTTATTGGCATCTACTTAGGTCTTAAACACCATTTTTGTAGTCACTATCAAAAGTTATTTGTTTGAAAAATTGAATAAAAGTAACCAAATGATTTACATTGGAATTTCATAAGATTAATTTTCAAATTGGATGCACTACTTATCAAGTAATTTTGTGAAATATTCCTAAATTTAAGTATGAAGTTTACAAACAAGCATATTCTAGTTTCACTAAGTGAATCAATTTTATTCCCAAATTTTGAATAAACTACTCTAAAATAAAATTACTAATTCAAACTTACATTCGGATATCTGGAATTTCTGGGCCATCCATCAATAGCAACGATAATTCTCCGTCCTTCCAATGCAGACGCCTGTCTGGTTTCTATCCGAATTCGAGGAATTCTCTTCTCCGCAGGTGTAAAGAGATGTCTTCTTGACTAGAGAAAATTAGAAAAAAAATATTTCACATACACACAGAAAATCACAGGATGAAGGCTCTAAGTTCTATTAAATTATATCATTTTTTATTACATAGCAATATACTCTCTACTCACCTCCTTAATATCAGACTTGGAAAGCATGCCACAATATGGTCTCCAATTCCTTTTTATTATTCCTACAACTCTACCTGTAGGTTTTAACATTTTTTCATTTACAGCAGTCTTCAGCTGGGATTTAAAAATAAAAATCTTGTTATTTTTCTTTTAAGTACAATGACACAATTTCTCTTCATAATTAAAATACAAATATGGATACTAATATTTTCAGGCCCTAAATTATGTCATAAAAATACAGAATCTTGATGTTTCAAAATTCTAGGCAATGGCATGCCAAACCAAAGCATGGACATTTTCCATAATAAAAAGGGACTACAAAGAGATAATTGAAAAAATTTAATATAACTGAATAAGTATGTCAGAATTCAACTCTTTTTCAATTTTAATATCATGATTTACTAACACATACAGAGGTCTGGGAATTAATAGACTAGGATTTTAATAGTAGTATGCACTAATTAGCTGCGTGGCATTTATTAAATCCTTAAAAAAAGAGATATATCTTTAATGGTTCTTTTTTTATCCAAAATAAAAATCCAAAGAATATTTCTTATTAGAAACAGCAGAAGAACCTTATGGTACTTCACTTCTAAACACTCTTCTTTGGCCTAGACCAGCCGTGGGCAAACTATGGCCCACGGGCTGGATCCGGCCTGTTTGAAATGAATAAAACTAAAAAAAAAAAAGACCGTACCCTTTTATGTAATGATGTTTACTTTGAATTTATATTAGTTCACACAAACACTCCATCCATGCTTTTGTTCCGGCCCTCCAGTCCAGTTTAAGAACCCCTCTACAGGCACAATGTCATAGTAAGGCTCCAGAATATAGTTCATGGAAAAAGAACCACTAATATATGAATAATTACATTATTCCTGTTAATTCTAAAATAGGGAAATAAATTGATCGTATCAGGTAAACTTTGGCTCCTAAGAACAACCGAAAGTATTCTCTTTCATAATAAATATGGTAATAGAGAAGGGCTTATTAAACAGACCCAAATATAAAGGCCCAGTAGAACATCTATTATACTAAGGGAATTTTAACATTACATAAAAGCATTTCAGAAAATTTTAATTTTATTTACTTAAAACTCGCTGGTTCCAGTTTCATACTCAAGTTAACAGTCTTTTTGTACTTCAACCTGTTTACTTGAGCCAATTCAGATATTCATTTAAAAGAAGACTACTGAAATAGTTAGAGGGGAAAAAAATCAACTCTGTAGAACTATAATTTTGTTCAATAAATCTGAAAGCAATGAAATTTGTGTAATATTCTCCAAAAGTAACACACTGACTACTTATACAAAAATTACACAGACAAAAATTAAAACTTGCTTGGTTTCATACAATGCGTTCTGTTTCCTCTTCTTTCTCCACATCATCTTCATTTTGACCTTCATCTTGTAAAACCACAGAAGATGGTGCTACCCACTGATTTTTGGGGAGAAGCTCCACAGCCACAATGTCTTCATGAATAGCTCGATTTAAATTTTTAAGCCCTTGTAAGATTATCTGTAAAACAGTAAATGGCATGGTCCAGATATTCTAATGGTAATAATTGGAAGGTTACCTAAAAGAAGTTTAGATATACTCTGAATGTCGCTATGTATTTCTATTTGTCCTCCTTTATATTTTTCTTCCTTATTGTGTCCGTTTACTACACCCTCTTAATTTCTCAATATCAAGTAGAAAAAAACATGGTCAGAAAACATGGGTTATGTTCATGGCTCTGCCATAACTCTTACATTAGTATCAAGAGACCTTAGGGAAATTTCTTAACCTGTCTAAACCTCAGGGTACCGATAGGTGAAACACAAAGAGTACCACTTTTATAGGCTGGGTTGAAGATTAAATGAAATGCAGCATGCAAAGCAGTTAGCAGAGTATATGGCAAACAGTAAGTATCCCAAAATAATTGCTATTCACTTTAAAGTATGTAGTCTTCTGAAGCAATTACATGTTATGTAAATAGTATTCTCCATAACTGGTCTTAATATATAAAAAAGAGGTATCCTATTCATTAATATTTGATTGACTAAACAATAAAAGTAGGGTAATAGAAATTATTTTCTTCAATAAGTAGTTTTCTAAAAAAGTGATTAATTCTAGTATCTATACCTCCCACAAACTGCTTTCAAGCTGATAAACTGGGAGTACAAAGCAAATTTAAATTCTCATATAGAATTTTAAACACTTATAAAAGAAAATAATGAACAAAAAGTATTTTAGTATATAAGGAATATATTTACACACTTGCCTCTTTATTTTCTTCAGCATCTCCATGAACCCATACTGTAGCTTCTAAGTAATTTTCCCTGCTGGCTCTAAATGTTCCTTGAAGGTATGTACCAGATTTTATGCCTTGTTGTAACTTACTTAAGGGAAGATGCTCTGAAAATATTATTTTTCCACTTTCTATTTCATTCTGTGAAATAAGCAAACCAAAAAATGCAGTTAATATGTAAGTCGTCTGTACACTAAATATATAACTATTATCATTATCAAGTAATTTCTTTTAAATACCTTCCACATCATGGTATATACAACTCCATGAATAAGAGAATATAATATAGCACAGTGACAGAAAAAAATGCTTTCAGTTCATAGGCAACTTACAAAATATTTCAATTTCATTACATTTAAGGTTTTTATCCACAGATGTATGTCACTAAGAAACCACTGCCCAGTACAGGCCTCCCAAAACAAAGGTGTGAATACTTAAGTGGGTAGATATGTAGAGGCTAAATTGAACCCTCAATTTCATGAAAAGGCTTTGGCTATTAAAGCATAAGAAAAATGTTATTACATCCAAAATCCTAACTGCATGGCTCCTTTCATTTCCTTCTCTATTTCCCACAATTTTTCACCTTCCAAGGAAAGTATGTTATACCTTCTCCTTTTTTGCTTACCTCTCTAACTTCCCCATCTTCCTTTCCCACGGTCAGATGGGGGACCTCAAGATTAATACTGAGACTCAGAAGCAGTCAGTAGAGACCTACTTCATCTTCCTACTACTGAATCTGCCTATTTACTTGCATCAACACCAAAATCTCAGCTTTCTCTCCTGTATCAATAAATACAATATTTCTGTTCTTTCATTTTTTAAAACATTTTTTACTGATTTTTTTCTTTAGAGAGGATGAGAGAAATCGATGTGAGAGCAAAACATCAATCGGCCGTCTCCTGTACACCGATCAAGCCCACAACCTGGCATGTGCCCTGACCAGGAGTTGAAACGGCAACCTTTTGGTGCACGGGATGACACCCAAAGAACTGAACCACACTGGCTAGCCACACTGACTGTTTCTATTCTTTCAATTGAACACTACAAACCATCTACTCTCTCTCTCTTTTTTTTTAATATATTTTATTGATTTTTTTACAGAGAGGAAGGGAGAGGGATAGAGAGTCAGAAACATTGACGAGAGAGAAACAATCGATCAGCTGCCTCCTGCACACCCCCTACTGGGGATGTGGCCGCAACCAAGATACATGCCTTTGACCAGAATCGAACCTGGGATCCTTCAGTCCGCAGGCCGACGCTCTATCCACTGAGCCAAACTGGTGAGGGCCCATCTACTCTCTTCTACTCAAGAACTTAGTCCTTTAATATCTTCTGCCTTTAGACTCAAACATTTTCACCATCATATAAACATAAGATAATCCATTAAAAATAAATAGCCAGGCTAGTGTGGCTCAATGGCTGAGCATCAACCTGGGAACCAGGAGGTCATGCTTCAATTCCAGATCAGAGCAAAGGCTGTGAGCTCGATCCCCAGTAGTGGGTGTGTAGGAGGCAGTTGATAAATTATTCTCATTGATGTTTCTATCTCCCTCTCACTTCCTCTCTGAAATCAATAAAAACATATTAATACATACATACATACATACATACATACATAAAATTTTGGTCTCCTTCCAGATACTGGCCTGATCATCTGTTCAATTCATACCAAAATACTACAACAGTATTCTCTAGAATAGCTGTGTATCCACTTACTTACCTGCACTTTCTCCCAAATCCACTACAATCAAGTGTCATCCTCAGTTAACTGAAACCAAATTGCCAAGGTCACTAGTATATGATCTTAGCAATGTAAACGCTCTGTTCTCAGTCCTATGAAATTTTTTTAAAAAGATCTTTCCTTCCCTAAGACACATCAGCATCCAAATCATCATTCCTTTGGTTTCTGTCCTACTTCACTGATTCGTTTCTTCTGTAAATTCTTCTGTTCCTGATCTCTAAATGTTGTCATATCCCAAGGCTCAGCAATAGGCCCTTTTCTTTCTTTATCTACATTTATTCCCTTATTGCCTCCCGTCTTTAAAAAAAAGAAACACAACCATAAAAAACCCCTCTCGATCCCATTTGCTCTGCAAATACCATACTTCTCTCCTTCGATTACAGCACTAAAAGTGTTACAATACTGTTATTTCTCTTTTCCCATTTTTTCACCTATACTAGTCAGACTTCTGCCTCCCACCCACCAAAACTACTCTGGAAAGGTCCTCCAAACTGTCATAATGCTAAATCCAATCATCAGTTCTCATTAATTTATCAGCAACATTTGACACAGATGATCACTCCCTTGTCCTTGAAACATTTTCTGTACTCAGCTTCAATGGAATTCACTTACCTGGTTTTCCTCTTATATTGCTTTTGCTGGTTTGGTTCTCCTGATTCTGACTTCTAAACATTAGAGTGCCAAAGAACTCAGTGCTTGGACCTCTTCTCTTTCCTATCCATACTTATTCCCCTAGATCAGAGCTAAGCAAACTAAGTTCATGCATCAAATAGTTTTATTAGAGCACATCAATACTCCATTATTTATCTACTAGAGGCCTGTTGCACGAAAAGATTCGTGCAATAGGCCTTCCCTTCCCCTGTCTGCCGGCAACCGTTTTCCTCCGGCACCCGGGACCCATGCCTTCTCTCCGGCCGGAGCCGCCTTCAGTCTTTGCTGCTCCAGCCGGAGCTGCCTTCAAGCCTTCGCTGCTCTGGCCGGAGCCGCCTTCAAGCCTTCGCTGCTCCGGCCAGAGCCGCCTTCAGTCTTCGCTCTGCCGCTTCGCGCCTACGTATACAAATTAACCGCCATCTTTGTTGGCGGTTAATTTGCATATTGCTGATTAGCCTATTATGGGCGTAGCAAAGGTACGGTCAATTTGCATTTGGTCTATTATTAAATAGGATTGTTGATGGCTGTTTCTGCACTACAATAGCATAAGTTGAGTACTTGCAACAGAGATCATTGCTTCAAAGCTATAAAAAACAACAACTATCCTTTACAAAAAAAGTTTGCCCGGGAGAAAATATTTGCATATCCATGATAAAGAAATTGTACCCAGAATATGTAAAGAACCCTTACAACTCAATAAAAAGACAAATAACCCAACTACAAAATGGGCAAAGGATTTTAATAAACATTTTCTCAAAAAGACACTCATATACACTCATGTACACTTAGGCACGCCAACAAGCTCATGAAAAAATGCTCATCACCAATCATTAGGAAAATGCAATCAAAACCCAATTAGGTATCACTTCAAACCCATTAGAATGGCTATAATAAAAAAGACAATAACGTATTGGTGAAAAAATGGATAAATTGGAACCCTCATACATTGCTTTGGGAATGCACTTTGGAAAACACAAAAATATCTGAAATACTTGAAAAGCAGTTTGGCAGTCCATCAGAAAGTTAAACATAAAATTATCCTATGACCCAGCAAACCCACTTGTATATATCGAAGAGAAATGAAAACACATATCCATACAAAAACTTGTACACAAATGTTCATAGCAGCATCCTAAATTAATAGCCAGTGAGTGAAAACAACTAAAATACCAGTATCTATCAACTGGAAAATGGATAAATAAAATGTTATTTGGCAATAAAAATAAATTAAGTATTGATATATGCTATAACATGAGAAAACTGAAAATATTAGGCTAAGAGAAAAAAAGCCAGTCACTAAAGACCACATACTGCATTATTTCATTTATGTGAAATGCCAGAATAGATAAAGTTATAGACAGAAAAATCAGTAGTTGCTTCGGGCTGGAGCAACAGCATTTCAGGAGGAGATTGGAATAGAGTGGTAATGGGTATGGAGTTTCTTTGACAGGGGAAGAAAACATTCTAAAATTAGATTGTGGTAAGGGTTACAGAATTCTGTGAATACACTTTTTAAAAAAGAAAAGGTCTACTAATCCCTGCCCTAGATAATCTCATTTGGTCTTATCACTTTATATACTACCTATATATTGATGACTTCCAAATTTGTCTAGTCCTAACCCACCTTCCCTCATGAACTACAGATTTGTATACCCAACTATATGTATCATAAAAGTACTTGGAGCTCTGATAGGTATCTCAAACTTAAAATGTCTAAAATTATACTTGTGATTTTCTACCTAATCCCGCTTCTTCCATTTTATATAAATAAAATGATACTATTTATGTAGTTGCTTAGGTGAAACACCTAAAGTCATCCATATTACCTCATAGCCCCATCTAATCCATCACCAAGTCCTAAGACACTTATCTATAAAATACACCCAATATCTCAGTACTTCTCACTACCTTAACTGCTATTACCTTGGTCCAATTTTGTCTTCTCTCTCCAAAAGTACTAAAATATTTTCCTACCTGGAAACTCTTGTTTCTAATATGTTCTTAGAACAGCCGGATAAGTCATATTATTCCCCTGCTCAACAGCTATCCAAAAGTAGAAGACTAATATTTTCCCCATGACTTTTTATATATATACTAGAGGCCCGATGCACAAAAATTCATATTATTCTGCTCAACAGCTATCCAAAAGTAGAAGACTAATATTTTCCCCATGACTTTTTATATATATACTAGAGGCCCGATGCACAACAAAAAGTGCACTGGGGGGGGGGGGGGCCCGCCCGG